AGTTTGTTTACTGTGAAATAGCATTGTATCTGGTCAAAAACCATTTTTTCCAGAAGTTTACTAAGAGTTGGTCGGCTATTTGAGCCAGTAAAGGGGGCTTTACTATTTTGGGGTAGCGGAATGACTTTATCTTCCCTCCAGGCCTGAGGGCACACACTTTCTAGTAGGCTTAAATTGAAAGATGTGGCAATATCGTCCGCTAATATCCTCAGTAGTTTTCCATCCAGATTGTCAGACCCCGGTGGCTTGTCATTGTTGATAGACAACAATAAACTGACTTTACGGAATACAAAAGTACAATTCTTGTCTTTCATAATTTGGTCAGATATCATTGGATGTGTAGCGTCAGCATTTGTTGCTGGCATGTCATACCTAAGTTTGCTTATCTTGCCAATGAAGAAGTCATTAAAGTAGTTGGCAATATCAGTGGGTTTGATGATGAATGAGCCATCTGATTCAATGAATGATGGAGCCAAGTTTGCCTTTTTTCATTTAAGGTGCTCCAAAGCTTTTTACTATCATTCTTTATATCATTTATTTTTGTTTCATAGTATAGTTTCATTTGATTTAGTTTAGTCACATTTCTTAATTTGCAGTACGTTTGCCAATCAGTATGGCTGCCAAACTTATTTGCCATACCTTTTGCCTCATCCCTCTTAACCATACAATTTTTCAATTCCTCATCAATCCAAGGGGATTTAACAGTTTTTACAGTCATTTTCTTAATGGGTGCATGCTTATTAGTAACTGAAATAAGCAATTTCATAAATGTGTCAAGTGCAGCATCTGGTTGCTCTCATTACACACCACAGACAAGCAAATATTCTTTACATCATCAACATATGAATCACTACAAAACGTATTGTATGACCTCTTATACACTATATTAGGCCCAGCCTTTTGAACTTTGTTTTCCTAGATATGGCTACTATATTGTGAGCTCTGTGTGTGTGGGTGTTGTCTCTGTGATGCCCGATTTTGCACACCGGCTCTGCTTATATGAGTGCTTTTGAATAGGTCCACTTAATCTTGGAATCAAAAGTGTTACCATTCATGGAGAAATTGAATTGAACTAATCTAAGAGCATCCATCTTGAACACGCTGGATACTGGAGTTTTTATTTCTGGGGGGAAGAAAAATAAATATTTTGACAGGTAGCCACATAGTAAAGAGATTCAACTGGAGATGGAGATTAGAATATAGTAAATTTGAGTAAAACCTTATGAGTTCAATCACAAAAAGCTTATATTTTCAGACCTTTTTACATAGCCTATTGGTTTATTGAATTGATTAAACAATTATTGAACTGCATGTATGAAGAGATACAGCTGCTATGTACATTTCTCAAAATATTCAAACAATATTGATGTGTTCGACTTCCATCTGAAATAATTTGTGTCTGAAATCTAAATGGGATGTAATGATGGAACGGGTAACACTGAAGCAGCATCGATATCAATGAACTGAATTACCCTTTAATGGCGTAGCTCTGACAGGTGTCTGTGTGTGTGTGTACTCTCGCTACCTCACTCTCAGGAGGATGCAGAGATGGACGTTATGTTGGGTGTGTTGAGAACCGTAGAGAGATGATTAGTGTGACATCGCTGCCAACATGAAAATGGGAACCCATCTATGCACTGTCAAAATAACTGATTGCTCGATTGCCAATATGAGGTGTGCCCATTACTTTTCCTTTGATCCTGGGAAGAAGAACACAACACTTCCTCCCTCATCATCTTCATATTAGAACAGATGGAGATTCTGAACGACACACTTATATTCACCCCTAAAGTACCAGTCGAAGTTTTGGACACACCTACTCATTCAAGGGTTTTTCTTTATTTTAACTATTTTCTACACATTGTAGAATAATAGTGAAGACATCAAAACTATGAAATAACACATATGGAATCATGTAGTAACCAAACAAGTGTTAAACAAATCAAAATATATTGCTTATATCGAGAATGTACTGCTTTTCCTTCACTCTGAGGTCCGACTCATTCCAAACCATCTCAATTGGGTTGAGGTCCGGTGATTGTGGATGCCAGATCATCTGATGCATCACTCTCCTTCTTGGTCAAGTAGCCCTTACTCAGCCTAGAGATGTATTGGGTCATTGTCCTGTTGAAAAACAAATGATAGTCCTACTTAGCGCAAACCAGATGGGATGGCGTATCGCTGCAGAATGCTGTGGTAGCCATGCTGGTTAAGTGTGCCTTGAATTCTAAATACATCACTGACAGTGTCACCAGCGAAGCACCCCCACAACATCACACCTCCTCCTCAATGCTTCACGGTGGGAACTACACATGCGGAGATCATCCGTTCACCTACTCTGCGCCTCACAAAGACACGGCGGTTGGAACCAAAAATCTCAAATTTGGACTCCAGACCAAAGGACAGATTTCCACCGGTCTAATGTCCATTGCTCGTGTTTCTTGGCCCAAGCAAGTCTCTTCTTCTTATTGGTGTCCTTTTAGTAGTAGTTTCTTTGCAGCAATTCGACCATGAAGGCCTGATTCACGCAGTGTCCTCTGAACAGTTGATGTTGAGATGTGTCTGTTACTTGAACTCTGTGAAGCATTTATTTGGGCTGCAATTTCTGAGGCTGGTAACTCTAATGAACTTATCCTCTGCAGCAGAGGTAACTCTGGGTCTTCCTTTCCTGTGGCGGTCCTCATGAGAGCCAGTTTCATCATAGCGCTTGATGGTTTTTGCGACAGCACTTGAAGAAACTTTCAAAGTTCTTGAAATGTTCCGTATTGACTGACCTTTATGTCTTAAAGTAATGATGGACTGTCGTTTCTCTTTGCTTATTGGAGCTGTTCTTGCCATAATATGGACTTGGTATTTTACCAAATAGGGCTATCTTCTGTATACCACAGCTACCTTGTCACAACACAACTGATTGGCTCAAACGCATTAAGACGGAAAGGAATTCCACAAATTAACTTTTAACAAGGCACACCTGTTCATTTAAATGCATTCCAGGTGACTACCTCATGAAGCTGGTTGAGAGAATGCCAAGAGTGTGCAAAGCTGTCAAAGGCAAAGGGTGACTATTTGAAGAATCCCAAATATAAAATATATTTTGATTTGTTTAACACTTTTTTGTTTACTACATGATTTCATATGTGTTATTTCATAGTTTTAATGTCTTCACTATTCATCTACAATGTAGAAAATAGTAAAAATAAAGAAAAACCCTTGAATGGGTAGGTGTGTCCAAACTTTTGACTGGTACTGTATATGTTAACACCTAATGTCTTCTAAGCACTACTGCGTCCTTCCTTCTCAGCAGCACCATATACCCAGTGAGACCTTTCTTTCACTATAAAATCTTAATACAGTTAATACAGTTCTTGATTTAGTCAACACTATACCCTACCCCCTATAACCTCTTTAACTGCCAAGCTCGTCATTTGTGACAAGGATCATCTTCACTTGGAGGATTATGAAGCTACCCTGTAGTCATCACTTTTGGTCAGCTTAGCTCACATTAGCCAGCACCCCATGGCTTAGTGCTTCCAGCTTTGTATCTCGGTTCAAAAGGAACATCGGAGATTTGCGGCGACGGTTGAGCCGTAAGTCGGTAAAACCAGCGTGGTGATCGTTCACAGCTCCAAGTTCCCTTGGTTCAAAGCACCAATCACTATTAAGCGCCCAACTGTTGCCAGCAGTATTTTCAGTAATATATTTTCTTTAAAAAATAAACCTTGAGCTATATTGGAGCACCTGGGGACTTAGCCTGTTGCCCTTGCCTACATACTGCGGGGGGAATAATTGAGAAAGAAGGAAGGAAGGACATTTTTTGTAGTTAAATGTGAGGCAGAGATTGTGGTTTGGAGGTCAGGATGAAGCTCCAGCTGTGTACTAATTGCCGTATTGAAATAATCTGTGCTTGATTGATGTAATCTTGACTTGATTGATGTAATCCTGACTTGATTGATGTAATTCTGACTTGGACTTCCTCTCATATTGAGGCCAAAGACCTGGTCATAAATAAACCTGCTGGATACAGCAGTACCCTATATAACCCCCCTATTTTCTACACTGACGAACATCGTTTTCAAGCCACTCTAACCTATCTTTTCACTGTGATGCGAAGCAAATGGGCAAAATCAGAGAGCACATATGGAGGACATGTATGCACTGAGAGAAAAAACAACATACAATTGAATAAAGATTGCCGTCTGGAATGGCTTCTCAATGTTTGCCGTTGGTGGGTCGTCAGACTCGACTGATTCGCCAGTGTGGTCCAGAGTGACGAGCATACAGAGCATGTAGAACATTGAGCATTTGATTTGTGAGTCTCTCCCATAGCTCAGAGAGCCTGGAGGCTGGTTGACTGAATTAGGAGCCAGTGTGTTATCTCTCCAATGGAAGGCAGAGAGGCTGATTGCTGCCCTCATTGGTAGCACGGAGCACGTTTGGCCAGTGTAATAGCAGCCATAGAAACCGCATCAACGAAAGTAATTGTTTTGGCAACCCTGGAAAATTAAGAATACAACATTAACATGCTTTGCGTGTGGCTTCTCTCTCTTTAGTCTGAGGCCTTGACAATATGATAAAATGTTCCGGCTTAGAACGCTGAAGCAAAAGGTTTTAGAGTAGATTGAAAGCTCTCTGGAGGTTTGAGGGGAAACAAGTAAACAGAAAGTTGACACGTTGTTTGCTTGTCAGGGCACTGTTCTCTGGTCTTCTCTGTCCTAGGTGTGACACAGCCTTCACACCTTTTAAGAGGATCCACCAACTTGTTGTTAGACAATGTAATGGATTCAGCAACCCTTACTCTGATAGAGCTATTGCATGATAGAACAGATACAAATCTGTAACGTTTCTAACTGTTATCTACTAGTTAAAGTCACTGAATGTTCGCAGCAAACGTAAAAGCTAATGGAATTTGTTAGCTGTTATTAGCTACCGATCGCTACCGATCAGCATTGTTGAATGCACCTCTGACGATGCGACTGACAGACGTTCTACATGTGTTCCAGGTTGCTATGGAGTGGACGGGGAGAGTGATTCCATCATGAGTTCCGCCTCGGAGAACTCCACGGAACCGTGGTTCTGTGATGCCTGCAAGAACGGAGTCATGCCCAGCTGTGAGCTCTGCCCCAATCAGGACGGGATCTTCAAAGAGACTGACGCTGGGAGGTGGGCCATGATTCTACACACTGATTTTATGATTTTTCACATTATTTAATTTGTTCATTTGGGAGAATTACATTGGATCAATCACACACACTCTAGGAATTGTTATCAACACACTAGGAATTGCCTTCAACTACTTTAACAAAAGTAGTTGGCCATTAATGTCAATTTACTGTAGGCAACCTAAAGCCTCTGTCCATTTAAATCGTGCATACATTCAGCTTTGGAGAAAGTGTAGCAGGTGGAGATAGGGAACGAGAAGAGAGGGAAGACCGGGAGAGAGAAAGAGAGGGGAAGAAAAAGATAGGAGAGAAGGGTAGGGAATGAGAGAGGGGAAAGAAGGCAAGTGAGGGAAGGAGAGAAAGATTGGGAAAGAAGGCAAGTGAGGGAAGGAGAGAAAGATGGGGAAAGAAGGCAAGTGAGGGAAGGAGAGAAAGATGGGGGAAGAAAAAGAGAGGAGAGGACAGTGAGGGATAGAAAGAGAGAAAGTGTGTCATGTGAAGCGTGGAGACTCCAGCCACGCTATCGCTGATAGTGCTCCTCAGCCAGCCTGCACCCGAATTTACTACTTCACTAGAGCATGAAAAACACAGCAAATTAAACTGTGGAGCGCTCGCTTGCTTGCTGGAGATGGATATCTTTATATTGGACTTCGGATTCTCTTCCCCAAAGTCCGCATTTGAAATTGTGTCACACCAAACGGATGCTCAGTCAGAGAGTGTGGCTTGGGCTGCTGAAGTCAACTACTGAAGATTTAAAAGCTTTTTAAGCGTTTAAGTGATTAATTTCTGTTAATTATCTGAGTGAAGTTTTCAAATTTTGCAATGTTTACTTTTTCCGCTTTTGCAGTACCTAATTTGATAGAGCTTTGTCAGCACACATTTACTTGTATAACTTAAAGATGCGTTATAATGGTTTTGTATAATTTCAGCCAGTAGTTTTGAAAGTAGTGCTCACAAGCCAAAACAGGTCCACGAAAATGTTGCACAATTGTGTACAACGTCATCCATTTCATATTATATGTTACATCCTGCTAAAAATTAAAATTGCAATTCGTATATATTACGAATTCCAATTCGTACAATATGTTACAAATGTGAAAGTGCTTAATATTCTGTTGAATCTCTTTAATTGTGACAATTAGAAAGCTTGGGTTTAATTCACATGTCAACTACTCAATCTCTATCTAGTATACAGGCCTCCTGTAGCTCAGTTGGTAGAGCATGGCGCTTGCAACGCCAGGGTTGTGGGTTCGATTCCCACGGGGGGGCAGTATGCAAAATGCATGCACTCACTAACTGTAAGTTGCTCTGGATAAGAGCATCTGCTAAATCTATACTCTGCTTTTATTGGTTAAGTAGGCACATGCTTCATAGCCCCTTTGCTAATGTATCTTTGTTTCTTTTCATGTGTATTCTCTAGATGGGTCCATGTGGTTTGTGCGCTCTACGTCCCTGGAGTAGCATTTGGGGACATTGATAAACTACGACCAGTGACTCTCACAGAGATGAATTACTCCAAGTATGGGGCCAAGGCAAGTACAAATGAAATGTTTTTATATGTTTCAAAGAATAAAGATGATGATGTAAATCGTGTGAAACAAAATCAATCCATATTACTTCAAACATGCTTTATCACAGTAGAAGACTGAGGAATGTCTTTTAGATTTTTGGACTCCCTGTTTTTGTGAACACAGTCAATAGATTTCCATTTTCTGTTGATGAATTAGTCTGGTTTATGAGAAGCAGCACATTAAGACAGTCATAAAGTGACTCTTGTGTGGTTGGTTACTGTCTAAAACTTTACATCCAACTAAACACAGTGATCCATCAGTGGAGTCACTCTGACATTCATTCTAGCTGAAACCCTTTTGAAGGTCACTAAGCCAATAGAATACACTTTTATTGAGGAGAATGACTTTTAGAAGCACTTGAAAAGGCTTCCTGCTGTGATTTAGGGCCTTTTCAAACTAAAAGAAATTGCTGCTGGAAGACGGGTATTATATTTGAGAGGAGAATAATTAAAGCATTTGCAAGTTTCTCCATGTGGTCACCTTGTTCGTTTGGCAGAACTGAGCGTTTCTGAACCTTTATGTACTCCTTTGTCCCTGAGTGCGGTTTCTGAGCTCTCCATTTTTCTTTACCTTAGGTCAGAAACCCCACTTATGAACAATGTTTTTGCTTCCTCTTTGTCCAGGAGTGCAGTTTCTGCGAGGACGCCCGGTTCGCCCGGACAGGCGTGTGTATCAGCTGTGATGCTGGCATGTGCCGATCCTATTTCCATGTGACCTGTGCTCAGAGGGACGGGCTTCTCTCCGAGGCAGCTGCGGAGGAGGTAAGAGAAGAAGACAGGACATGAATCATGTGACCCTGTGTTTTTTGTTTTCTTTCTGTGAAATTCCTCACATATGGTGTCAGAAGTGGGATTTTATTAAATCTGTCTGTTTTTAAAGCCTTTTGAAGTTATTGAGTGTCAGATAGCTCTTTCACAGTCCCTGTAATGCATTTGAACAACATAGCGGGGTGGGTGTGTTCTTAGTGCAGGATATCCATCAGATCCCAGTTTCCTGACCTCCCAACAATAGCCTTAATTAAAATGATCAATTGACTTCATTACCTGGGATCAGTTTGTCAATAAGACAGTAACATATTAATTTACTGTAAGATCCTCTGGTCCCAAACAAGTAGTCCTTTAAAACAGTCTCTAAAACCGGCCCTGGCTCCTACACCAACCTCCTGCTTATATCGAGAATATACTAACAACTCTAAGGCTGTATAATATTGACACTTTAAGGCTTTGGTAATAGTTAGTATTCAGGATCCGTCTGCAATGCAGCTCATATATGCGCCTCGCGTCACTTATTTCTGCGGCATAAAGGTGGCCGGCGCACCGATAAACCCAGCCCAGAAAGTGCCTACTCACCGCTATCCACTTAATCCAGTGAGCTGTGGCAAAGGGCCCCTATCAACAGGTGAAGCCTCTGATAAAATCCGCCGAAACACGTTAAGCCTAAACGATTCTAGGGGAGCCAGGGGCCTGCCTGGGAAATGGCTGTTGGGTTTTGTAGTGGGTTTTTCTCCATATGACTGAGGAGGAAGACGGAAAGAGGGAGATACATGTCTTAGGACCTTGTAGGTGAGATGTATGGTTGTTGTGGATATGGAATATAATTAAGAAATCGAGGCTTTCATTGTAATTCACCGTTTTCTATTTATTATATTAAAAAAATGTATTATTGTGTGTTAAAAAATTTTTTAGGGGGTAGATCAGCTTTAATATTGCAGATAGATTGTAACTTCCATCAATGTAATTGTCTGCATCACTTCCAATCCCCCATATATATTTTTTCACTAATATATATACACTACCAGTCAAGAGTTTAGACACACCTACTCATTCAAGGGTTTTTCTTATTTTTACTATTTTTTACATTGTAGAATAATAGTTAAGACATCAAAACTATGAAATAACACATATGGAACCATGTTGTAAACAAAAAAGTGTTAAACAAATCAAAATATATTTTATATTTGAGATTCTTCAAATAGCCACCATTTGCCTTGATGACAGCTTTGCACACTTTTGGCATTCTCTCAACCAGCTTCACCTGGAATGCTTTTCCAACAGTCTTGAAGGAGTTCCCACATATGCTGAGCACTTGTTGGCTGCTTTTCCTTCACTCTGCGGTGTGTGTCCCCCACCTTGCCATAAAGAAAAATCATTGAATGAGTAGGTGTTCTAAAACTTTTGACCGGTAGTGTACATATATATACACATCCTTTAAAAAAATATAATTTCCTTTAGTATTTTCCAACCCCACCACCCCTCCCCTAATTGGAGTAAAACTAGTGAACAACAACGCTTAGGCCTCTACTTCCAGCTTATACATACTATATACATTTTATGGACACAGTCAATTTTACAATAGTTCTATTTTGTTTGTTTTTACTCCTGAACTTCCTCTACCCTCAACCTCTCCGATCATTTTCATGATGTCCATCCGGTTTGCTTCTATATGCCATATCTTTCAAACTGTGCTCTTTCACAAAAGTTCTTAACCTATAACCTATATACTTTTTACATTTTAGTCATTTAGCAGACGCTCTTATCCAGAGCAACTTACAGTTAGTGAGTGCATACATTTTTCATACTGGCCCCCGTGGGAATCGAACGCACAACCCTGGCGTTGCAAGCGCCATGCTCTACCAACTGAGCTACAGGAGGCCTATTGTGGACACAGTATGTTTTACATTAGTTATCTTGTTGTTATTAGTCACAACCTTCAGCCCCATTCAACCCCTCCCATCTATCGCTTAACACCATCCATATTGGATTTCTATTTGCCATATATTTTTGAACTGTACTGTGATGTTTCACAATAGTTCTGAACCCTTCTATTCTCATTGTTTCTACAGATTGTAAATTGAAAATAAACATTTTTGCTAAAAGTATTATTATATTATTGATCGATTGACTATGACTTTTCAGATCACCCAGTAGTGCTATCTGCAGGGTTAGCTCCAGGTAAATATTGCAGTCCTTCAGCCATTCCTGGACCTGTGACCAAAAACAAGCTACAAATGGACAGTACCAAAACAAATGATCTAATGATTCTGTCTCTTCGCAGCAGAATCTGCGGAGCTGCGACGATTGTATCCCCCATATAAATAACATTATATTGGTAGCAAGAATTTTGTATAATAATTGAAATTGAAAAATTCTAAGTTTTGAATCCAGCGTTGTTTTGCATATCAGTTCATAAACTGTGGTCCTCTGTAGCTCAGCTGGTAGAGCACGGCGCTTGTAACGCCAGGGTAGTGGGTTCGATCCCCGGGACCACCCATACACAAAAGAAAAATTATGCACACATGACTGTAAGTCGCTTTGGATAAAAGCGTCTGCTAAATGGCATATTATTTATATTATTATAAACCATTTGCCATGGAATCGGTACGTCAAATCTCTTCCCAGCTATTTTGCAATCTATATGGGAAGGCTGTCAATCCTTTGGTCCTTAAATGAAACTGGTATACTTTTTTATTTATCACAATTTTCTATAACCAATTATGGTCTTTAATGCAGGGCCATACTTTTTCCACTTTCCACTTTCCTCTTCTATTTTTGCAGTAATGCTGCAGTTATTTGGTTGTCATTTTGGGTAGAGCAGACATTTTCATATGTTTTTGTTAGCTGCATGTGCAACATAACTCCACCAGTCCTACCTATGATATACAGTGGGGAAAAAAAGTATTTAGTCAGCCACCAATTGGGCAAGTTCTCCCACTTAAAAAGATGAGAGAGGCCTGTAATTTTCATCATAGGTACATGTCACCTATGACAGACAAAATGAGAAAAGAAAATCCAGAAAATCACATTGTAGGATTTTTTATGAATTTATTTGCAAATTATGGTGGAAAATAAGTATTTGGTCAATAACAAAAGTTTCTCAATACTTTGTTATATACCCCTTGTTGGCAATGACACAGGTCAAACGTTTTCTGTAAGTCTTCACAAGGTTTTCACACACTGTTGCTGGTATTTTGGCCCATTCCTCCATGCAGATCTCCTCTAGAGCAGTGATGTTTTGGGGCTGTCGCTGGGCAACACGGACTTTCAACTCCCTCCAAAGATTTTCTATGGGGTTGAGATCTGGAGACTGGCTAGGCCAATCCAGGACCTTGAAATGCTTCTTACGAAGCCACTCCTTCGTTGCCCGGGAGGTGTGTTTGGGATCATTGTCATGCTAAAAGACCCAGCCACGTTTCATCTTCAATGCCCTTGCTGATGGAAGGAGGTTTTCACTCAAAATCTCACGATACATGGCCCCATTCATTCTTTCCTTTACACGGATCAGTCGTCCTGGTCCCTTTGCAGAAAAACAGCCCCAAAGCATGAAGTTTCCACCCCCATGCTTCACAGTAGGTATGGTGTTCTTTGGATGCAACTCAGCATTCTTTGCCCTCCAAACACGATGAGTTGAGTTTTTACCAAAAAGTTATATTTTGGTTTCATCTGACCATATGACATTCTCCCAATCCTCTTCTGGATCATCCAAATGCACTCTAGCAAACTTCAGACGGGCCTGGACATGTACTGGCTTAAGCAGGGGGACACGTCTGGCAATGCAGGATTTGAGTCCCTGGCGGAGTAGTGTGTTACTGATGGTAGGCTTTGTTACTTTGGTCCCAGCTCTCTGCAGGTCATTCACTAGGTCCCCCCGTGTGGTTCTGGGATTTTTGCTCACCGTTCTTGTGATCATTTTGACCCCACGGGGTGAGATCTTGCGTGGAGCCCCAGATCGAGGGAGATTATCAGTGGTCTTGTATGTCTTCCATTTCCTAATAATTGCTCCCACAGTTGATTTCTTCAAACCAAGCTGCTTACCTATTGCAGATTCAGTCTTCCCAGCCTGGTGCAGGTCTACAATTTTGTTTCTGGTGTCCTTTGACAGCTCTTTGGTCTTGACCATAGTGGAGTTTGGAGTGTGACTGTTTGAGGTTGTGGACAGGTGTCTTTTATACTGATAACAAGTTCAAACAGGTGCCATTAATACAGGTAACGAGTGGAGGACAGAGGAGCCTCTTAAAGAAGAAGTTACAGGTCTGTGAGAGCCAGAAATCTTGCTTGTTTGTAGGTGACCAAATACTTATTTTCCACCACAATTTGCAAATAAATTAATTAAAAATCCTACAATGTGATTTTCTGGAAATGTTTTTCTCAATTTGTCTGTCATAGTTGACGTGTACCTATGATGAAAATGACAGGCCTCTCTCATCTTTTTAAGTGGGAGAACTTGCACAATTGGTGGCTGACTAAATACTTTTTTTCCCCACTGTAATTTACGAAGATTATATATATTTTTTTTATTAATAAAAAAACATTGTTTTTTTTATTATCAATTAGTATATTTGAGTTCAACCACATTATTTGGGAGATGATTTCCTTTTAAAATAACTGAAAGTGAGAGGTTGTAATCTGAATAAAGGGAAAAAGGCCATTCTTGAACATGGGATGAGACAATCTTACTAATTTGCTAGAGAACAAGTTCAGATTTAAGTATAATTTATGTATGACTGAAGCTTTTAGGGATAGGTCTAATGCTTTAATATTTAATAATTTCTGTCTTCCGAATTCATATTCATTGTATAAATAGGCCCGTTTAATTTTGTCTGGCTTGCCGTTCCAAATAAAATGGAATATTTTTTTCTCATATAATTTAAAAAACGTTTCGCTAGGCGTAGGCAAGACCATAAGCAAATAGGTAAACTGGGATAATACTAAAGAGTTAATCAGGGTGATTTTTCCACAAATAGACAGGTATTTACCTTTCCATGGTAGCAAGATCTTATCTATTTTTGCTACCTTTCTATTAAAATGTATTGGAGTGAGATCATTTTCACAGTTTTCTTACCTGGAATTTGGAAGACCATTTCTGAGAAAAATCAACATCGCCATACTCAGTTCTAGGAATAAGATGCACTCTTCTTCACCAGTGAGCACAGTTCATCACTCTATGGTAGCACTAAATTGATGTTATTTTGATCTCGTATAACAATGAATCCATTACTATTAATTTGAATGATGTAAGTGACTTTATTTTACACAGGAAAATGTATCTCTTGACTTAAGAGTGCTGAAAGGCATGCATACACAGTACATAAGGAACAATGTTCACCTGTGGTTGATCGTGTTTTGAACACGTGTGTGTGTGTTTCCCCAGGACATAGCCGATCCCTTCTTTGCGTACTGTAAGCAGCATGCGGACCGCTATGACAGGAAGTGGAAGAGGAAGAACTACCTGGCGCTCCAGTCCTACTGCAAGGCGTCTCTACAGGACAAAGAGAAGCAGCTAGCCCCCGAGGCACAGGTGAGAGGTCAAGACTGGCTCAGACTCACACTGGCTCTCTGCTGTTAGGACTGCAGAATGTTGACTTTAGTCATAAATAGAAATGCTTGTCAGTGTTTGCGTCATAGTTCATTGTTCTATGTACAAGATTCAGTCTTCGACAGTAAGTTATCCATGATTGACTTATTTACATTTTAATCATTAAACAGATGGTCTTACCCAGAGCGACTTACAGTAGTGAGTGCATACATTTTGGTACTTTTTCATACTGGTCCCTCGTGGGATTTGAACCCACAACCCTGGCGTTGCAAGCGCCATGCTCTACCAACAGAGCCACGCAGGAGTGAGTTGAAGAAGAAGGCAGCTGGAACAACCTGGGGAGGTTTTAAGTTGTAATGTCTGTGTCCCAAATGGCATCCTATTCCCTATATAATGCACTACTTTTGACCAGGGGCCATTTAGGGAATACGGTGCCATTTGGGACACAGCCAAACTGTAATAAGATAATGAAGTGTGTGTTTCTTTGTGTTGTGTTGAACCCCTGGCAGGCCCGTATCACCACCCGGCTGCAGCAGTACCGGGCCAGGGCAGAGCTGTCCCGTAACACCCGGCCCCAGGCCTGGGTCCCCCGGGAGAAGCTGCCGCGACCCCTGACCTCCAGCGCCTCCGCCATCAGGAAGCTCATGAGGAAGGCTGAGCTTATGGGCATCAGGTAGGAGTTAATGTCTGTGGGAAAAGACCGTGTTGAGATCGACCAAGAGTTGTAGAATTCACTAGGGTTGTGCCAACATGGCAGTACTCATATTCGTAATCGTATCCGTAAATTGACAGTTGATAGTCGGATCGGATGATACTCGTGATCGGAAAAAAATTGTTTTATTATGCCTAAATAGATGTTGGCAAAATACCTCCCTGCAAGTTCTCACTGCAAAAAAGCTGCAGATTAGGAGCAGCTTGCGGAGGGGTGGGTGTGTCTGTGTGTCTGTGTACTCAACTTGCAGCGGGCAGCCAAGTTTCCTGTTACTCAGTCAGAATGCGCATCAGTGATTCATCTTTTTTCCCTACCCTTGCCCTGCTTGTTAGATATTATGCACATTGATAGCAATCGTCCTCGCCATGTGATTTATCATAGTAGCAGGCAGCAGCAATCTAAATGATCAGACCGAAAACATGCAAGGTAAAGTGATCGGGTGAAATTATGAAGTGGACGGAGAAATACGGCTTCACTCTATCCAATCAGAGCAGCAGGATCAACGTACAGCCCTTCTCTTTACAGACAGGCAAACAAGCTAGTTTAGTGATTTAGACTACGCACATGACTGACTCAAAGACAGGACAGTATGGTTTAGAAACGATGTGTCTGACTGACATGAGAAAGATGCTTACAAAAATTACTCGGATCATAATCGCGTCCATAAAATCCGTTACGATACTCATTTTATCAGACTATTCGGCACACCCCTAGAATTCACATTCCATATTTTTTTTCATACAATTCTATATAAAGATTCGTTTGAACTGGAAGCGCGAGAGCTGCACCTTTTTCCCCTCATCAGGGAGGGGCTTAGAGCTTAGAGAGGTGGACCAGCAACCAGAGTGTTGATGGTTCAAATCCCGGGTCTGTCCTCTGTTTTTCTTCTTCAGCACGGACATCTTCCCCGTAGACACGTCAGACATCAGCGCCAGTGTGGACGGACGCAGGAAACACAAGCAGCCCGCCCTCACTGCCGACTTTGTCAACTATTACCTGGGTGAGTAGGGAAACAAAAACCATCTGACTGATGGCTACATAGACTTACATTACCAACCTAATATACCATTATAGTTAATGTTGTTACTACATGTAAACTGTCTTTGAGAGTCTGTGCCAGAGTTCTATAGGCTCTCAGCATGCAGCCTTGGATAAAGACATTTCCTTTCCTAAATGAATGAATGATGATGTGTGTGTTTGCGCGTGTGCGGGAATGTGTGCGCTCGCACGTGTTTGTGTGATGACCCAGCGTGCCAGTAACCTTGAACAACATCCCCCACCCCCAGCTATCTCCAATCACATCAGTACACCCTGTTTCTTATGTGCCTTTTCCTGTATATAGATGTAGATAGATTGTGATCGGTCCTATTGATGTGTGTGTATAGATTGTGATGGTGGTTTATTGATTGGTGTCCTTATTGCTATGCAGAGAGGAACATGAGGATGATCCAAATCCAGGACAATATCTCTGAACAGAAGAACCTGAAAGACAATCTGGAGAGTGAGCAGGAGAAACTGCATGTCGACTACAACAAGGTTAGTGGTGGTGGAAATCACGCACATTTACATTTTTTTTTACATTTAAGTCAATTTAGCAGACGCTCTTATCCAGAGCGACTTACAGGAGCAATTAGGGTTAAGTGCCTTGCTCAAGGGCACATTTACGTCATTTAGCAGACGCTCTTATCCAGAGCGACTACAAATTGGTGCATTCACCCTATAGCCAGTGGGATAACCACTTTACAATTATATATATATATTTTTTCTATTTTTTGGGGGGGGGGGGGGGGGGGGGGGGGGGGTTAGAAGGATTACTTTATCCTATCCCAGGTGTTCCTTAAAGAGGTGGGGTTTCAAATGTCTCCGGAAGGTGGTGAGTGACTCCGCTGTCCTGGCGTCGTGAGGGAGCTTGTTCCACCATTGGGGTGCCAGAGCAGCGAACAGTTTTGACTGGGCTGAGCGGGAACTATGCTTCCGCAGAGGAAGGGGAGCCAGCAGGCCAGAGGTGGATGAACGCAATGCCCTCGTTTGGGTGTAGGGACTGATCAGAGCCTGAAGGTACGGAGGTGCCGTTCCCCTCACTGCTCCATAGGCAAGCACCATGGTCTTGTAACGGATGCGAGCTTCAACTGGAAGCCAGTGGAGTGTGCTGAGGAGGGGGGTGACGTGAGAGAACTTGGGAAGGTTGAACACCAGACGGGCTGCGGCATTCTGGATGAGTTGTAGGGGTTTAATGGCACAGGCAGGGAGCCCAGCCAACAGCGAGTTGCAGTAATCCAGACGGGAGATGACAAGTGCCTGGATTAGGACCTGTGCCGCTTCCTGTGTAAGGCAGGGTTGTACTCTCCGAATGTTGTAGAGCATGAACCTGCAGGATCGGGTCACCGCCTTGATGTTAGCGGAGAACGACAGGGTGTTGTCCAGGGTCACGCCAAGGCTCTTCGCACTCTGGGAGGAGGACACAACGGAGTTGTCAACCGTGATGGCGAGATCATGGAACGGGCAGTCCTTCCCCGGGAGGAAGAGCAGCTCCGTCTTGCCAGGGTTCAGCTTGAGGTGGTGATCCGTCATCCATACTGATATGTCTGCCAGACATGCAGAGATGCGATTCGCCACCTGGTTATCAGAAGGGGGAAAGGAGAAGATTAGTTGTGTATCGTCAGCGTAGCAATGATAGGAGAGGCCATGTGAGGATATGACAGAGCCAAGTGACTTGGTGTATAGGGAGAAAAGGAGAGGGCCTAGAACTGAGCCCTGGGGGACACCAGTGGTGAGAGCACGTGGTGCGGAGACAGCTTCTCGCCACGCCACTTGGTAGGAGCGACCGGTCAGGTAGGACGCAATCCAGGTGTGAGCCGCGCCGGAGATGCCCAGCTCGGAGAGGGTGGAGAGGAGGATCTGATGGTTCACTGTATCAAAGGCAGCAGACAGGTCTAGAAGGACAAGAGCAGAGGAGAGAGAGTTAGCTTTAGCAGTGCGGAGAGCCTCCGTGACACAGAGAAGAGCAGTCTCAGTTGAATGACCAGTCCTGAAACCTGACTGGTTTGGATCAAGAAGGTCATTCTGAGAGAGATAACAAGAGAGTTGGCTAAAGACGGCACGCTCAATAGTTTTGGAAAGAAAAGAAAGAAGGGATACTGGTCTGTAGTTGTTGACATCAGTGGGATCGAGTGTTGGTTTTTTGAGAAGGGGTGCAACTCTCGCTCTCTTGAAGACGGAAGGGACATGGCCAGCGGTCAAGGATGAGTTGATCAGCGAGGTGAGGTAGGGGAGAAGGTCACCGGAGATGGTCTGGAGAAGAGAGGAGGGGATGGGGTCAAGCGGGCAGGTTGTTGGGCGGCCTGCAGTCACTAGTCGCAAGATTTTATCTGGAGAGAGAGGGGAGAAAGAAGTCAAAGCATAGGGTAGGGCAGTGTGAGCAGGACCAGCAGTGTCATTAGACTTAACAAACGAGGATCGGATGTCGTCAACCTTCTTTTCAAAGTGGTTGACAAAGTCATCCACAGAGAGGGAGGGGGGGGATTCAGCAGTGAGGAGAATGTGGCAAAGAGCTTCCTAGGGTTAGAGGCAGATGCTTGGAATTTAGAGTGGTAGAAAGTGGCCTTAGCAGCAGAAACAGATGAAGAAAATGTAGAGAGGAGGGAGTGAAAAGATGCCAGGTCGGCAGGGAGTTTAGTTTTCTTCCATTTCCGCTCAGCTGCCCGGAGCTCTGTTCTGTGAGCTCGCAATGAGTCCGGGAGGATAGGGGACACAGGGAGTCAAAGGATGCAGAAAGGGAGGAGAGGAGGGTTGAGGAGGCATAATCAGGAGATTGGAGGGAGAAGGGTTGAGCAGAGGGAAGAGATGATAGGATGGAAGAGGAGAGAGTAGTGGGAGAGAGAGAGCGAAGGTTGCGGCGGCGCGTTACCATCTGTGTAGGGGCAGAGTGAGTAGTGTTGGAGGAGAGCGAGAGAGAAAAGGATACAAAGTAGTGGTCGGAGACATGGAGGGGAGTTGCAGTGAGATTAGTAGAAGAGCAACATCTAGTAAAGATGAAGTCAAGCGTATTGCCTGCCTTGTGAGTGGGGGGGGATGGTGAGAGGGTGAGGTCAAAAGAGGAGAGGAGTGGAAAGAAGGAGGCAGAGAGAAATGAGTCAAATGTAGACGTAGGGAGGTTGAAATCCCCCAAAACTGTGAAGGGTGAGCCATCCTCAGGAAAGGAACTTATCAAGGCGTCAAGCTCATTGATGAACTCTCCAAGGGAACCTGGAGGGCGATAGATGACAAGGATATTAAGCTTAAATGGGCTAGTGACTGTGACAGCGTGGAATTCAAATGAGGAGATGATAGACAGATGGGTTAGGGGAAAAATTGAGAATGACCACTTGGGAGAGATGAGGATTCCTGTGCCACCACCCCTCTGACCAGATGCTCTCGGGGTATGCGAGAACACATGGTCAGACGAGGAGAGAGCAGTAGGAGTAGCAGTGTTTTCAGTGGTAATCCATGTTTCCGTCAGCGCCAGGAAGTCGAGGGACTGGAGGGTAGCATAGGCTGGGATGAAGTCAGCCTTGTTGGCGGCAGAACGGCAGTTCCAGAGGCTGCCTGAGACCTGGAACTCCAGGTGTGTGGTGCGTGCAGGGACCACCAGGTTAGAGAGGCAGCAGCCACGCGGTGTGAGGCGTTTGTGTAGCCTGTGCGGAGAGGAGAGAACAGGGATAGGCAAAGGCATAGTTGACAGGCTGCAGCAGATGGCTACAATAATGCAGAGGAGATCGGAATGAAATGAACTAAACATCTGGGAAAGGAGAGAGTAGGCCTCCCTCACCAAAAAAAAAATATATATATATAACTCTCCCAACTTCCACCTCAGAAACTATAATTGTTTCACTGAACCACCCGAGTAAAACTCTCCCAACTTCCACTTTAGAAATTAGAATTGTTGTAAACTACAGCAGACTGTTATCAGTAGCTGTAATTAAGTACAGCAGCTACCAACCACCTAACGTTAATGCCTCGGATGAGGTTAGAAAAACAGCTGAATGGTAGCAGCTAGCTGGCTCAATCACAGGTACTCTTAAGCATGAAATAACATTGGAAACAATTAACCACAGTTGCAAAAAGTTACCAGTAGCTACCCGCTAGTTAGCTAGCTAGCTTTGTTGGTCCAAGTAGTGGGTAAGCTAGCCTCGTGCTTCGCCGGGGTCTGCCGAATACAATACTTACCTACAATAATTACCTACAATAACCTTCAATAACTACCTGAGTAAGCTACCTATAATACCAAACTACAATACCTACCTACAATCTAAATACATGGTTTAAGCTTAACTCAACACCATATAAGAAGCCAAGCTTACCTTTCATAACGCAGCAATGATTAAACGTTGGGTAGCTAGCACAAAGATATTGTATTTAGCTACCACAGTACAGCCAGCTGGTAGTGTTGGCTGGCTAGCAATGGCTGCTGTGTTGACTTTGTTTGAAAAACGGCGTCGCTGCGAACGAATGTAGCTGGCTAAAAGGATATTGTTTTTAGTTGCTACCGTTGCTAATAGCTACTCGCCAGCTAATCCAGGAGGTGAGTTAGCTAGCTAGCTTCGTGCTACACCCGGCACCGCCGAATACAAAAGTAACCTACAATAACTACACAACAGCTACCCACAACAGCCCACGATGCCTACCTATACTACTTAATAATATACAGCCCACGATGCCTACCTATAATACCTAACTACAATCTAAATACATAGTTTAAGCCTTACTCGACAAAGCCCAAGGTATGTATAAAGCCAAACACACACACACACACACACACACACACACACACACACACACACACACACACTGTTAGAAGAACATGAAGAAGCTGCTTGTTGACTACAACAAAGTTAGTAGTGGTACAAAACAATGCTTGCTTGACTGCTGTGTGGTAGTAGACACAGCCAGGAAGACGGTGAACAAAATGTTAATCCCCTCTTACGCTGTTATCAACCACTCACTAGGGGTTTACCAGTGATTCTCCAGTAGCATTGCTTGCTCTGAATCCTCACACTAAAGTTGTGCTATCTCTTTGTACTGCATGGCCTCTAGTCTTCAGAAACACACACAGTGCGTCATTCATAAACAGCATCGCTTTGCATTTACATTTACATTTTAGTCATTTAGCAGCTTTGCACTACAACGTCACATTAACCACTGTTTTACTACGTACCGTGAAAAATACAATTTTGAGAGCCTTGTTGTTCCTCCTCCATCTAGCTCTCTCCATCTCTCATTGTTCTGTCTCTCTCTCTCTCTCTCTATCTCTCTCTATCCCTCGTTCTCCCTCAATCTCTCTGAGTCCCTTGCCGTTTCTCTCTTTCGCTGTCTCTCCGTCTCTCTCTCCATCTATCTCCTTTCATCTGTCCTCCCCATGTGACCTGGGTGTGGTGACGCAGGGCAGCTTCGCTCCATCAGGCCCGAATGAAGAAGGGAATAAAACAGCGGAGTAAAAGTCAGGAGTTAATGTTGCGCTCAGTCTTTCTGCCACACGTATTAAGCGTTATTAATGGAGTGTGTGTTGCTAATTGCACCGCTCGACTTGCTTTTACACAGAGATAGAGAGATGGAAAGAGAAAAACAGAGAAGGAGAGAGAGAGCGATGAAGAGAGAAGCGGCCCTGGCCTTGGAGAGAGTGGGAGAGATGGAGAAAGACCGAGAGGGAAAGAGAGAGAAGGATCGTTAAGATTTGAAGTCTAGCTACTGATACAGCTATAAAGCCCCTGACAAGGTGTTTCCGTGTGTGTGTGGAGGAGGAGGAGGAGGTAGACTCAGTAATCTCTGGGAGATAATATGAAGTGTTAGTGAATGTTTCCCTTTCACCTCCTCCTCTGGCAGAGCTGATTAAGTAAAGTCCAGAGAGAGATGGCGAAAGAGAGGGGGAGGAAGAGAGAGAAGGAGACAGAGAGAGAGTTAGAGAGAGATGGCGTTCAGTACTTGAGATTCACATCCAGTGAATAATTCTCACCTCTTTTCCTCCCCTCTCATCTCTCTTTGAGGAGCTTCACATCTTATCTAGTGTCTGGCTTCAAATATAGAAATGACAGGTCTTTTTACTTGTGTGTGTGTGTGATGTTTCTCTCTGTATGAGTATGTAAGGAGGAGAACAAGGGTATGTGTGTGCGTGTGTGTACATCTATCCATACATTAAAGAGTGTCCTTGTCTCGTGATCTCCCCTGGGTGATGCTTTATCTCTACCTCGCTCTCTCCCCCTCTGTCTCTCTCTCTCTCTCTCTCTCTCTCTCTCTCTCTCTCTCTCTCTCTCTCTACATGACCTACCTCTGTCTCTCTCTCTCTCTCCCTACATGACCTACCTCTGTCTCTCTCTCTCTCTCTCTCTCTACATGACCTGTCTCTGTATATCTCTCTTTCTCTCTCTATCTGTCTACCTATACCTCCCTCCCTAGATGACCTCTCTCTCTCTCCCTCTCTCTCTCTCTCTCTCTCTCTCTCTCTCTCTACATGACCTACCTCTGTCTCTCTCTCTCTCTCCCTACATGACCTACCTCTCTCTCTCTCTCTCTCTCTACATGACCTGTCTCTGTATATCTCTCTTTCTCTCTCTATCTGTCTACCTATACCTCCCTCCCTAGATGACCTCTCTCTCTCTCCCTCTCTCCCTCTCTCTCTCTCTCCCTACATGACCTGTCTGTCTGTCTCTCTCTCTCTCTCTCTCTCTCTCTCTCTCTCTCTCTCTCTCTCTCTCTCTCTCTCTCTCTCTCTCTCCCTACATGACCTGTCTGTCTGTCTGTCTGTCTGTCTGTCTGTCTCTCTTCTCTCTCTCTCTCTCTCTCTCTCTCTCTCTCTCTCTCTCTCTCTCTCTCTCTCCCTACATGACCTGTCTCTCTATCTCTCTACCTCTCTCCCCCTCCCTACATGACCTGTCTGTCTGTCTCTCTCTCTGTAGCTGTGTGAGTCTCTGGAGGACCTGCAGAATGTCAACGGTGTTCTGAGGAGTGAGGGCCAGGTCATATGGACCATGCTGGGAGGAATCCTAGGACAGGTATGTTAATATCTCACCACGTTCTCCTCCTGTCTTATCCTCCTTCCCTCTTCCTCACCCCCTTTTTAAAAATCTTCCTTTCCTCCTCTCTGTCGACGTTCTCATCCTCCTTTCCTCCTCATCCATTCTCCTCCTCCTATCTTTCTTTCTTTTTTATATTTAGCCCTGAGTTGGCAACACTTCCACTAAACCAAGCTCCAGCATCGGTCCTTCGTTTGTTATTTCATAACACCTACGCAGAACAGAAACAGAACAGAAAAGTTGGTTAGAAAGTCAGAGGATAAAACCCAACCTGACAGGTCTCCCTGCTACATGCCCAGGACCTGGTGATGATGATGGATTGAGAGGAATCTAGATTGGCCATAGAAACCCGCCGTAGCAACCCACAAAGTTACCATGGGGTAATTCTGCAGCCTATAATAGGCTCCTGTAAAATAAATACAAAAACTTGAAGTTGCACTAACGGATTGACCTGTCATTTGCTATAAAGGCAGACTAGACCTGCCTCTGCTTCACTCTAAATGAAGTTAGAAGCTGTGCGCTTGCTTTCTACCACGTTCCCACATGCCATGGCAACCAAATCGCCAAGGTGCGTCGCCACGGGTGATGGGTCATTTAACGAGTGCGAAATGCGGCTCTGCAGAAATTGCTCTGTGAGACCTTTTTAAATTGCTCTGTGAGACCTTTTTACTTTTTCACTGTTTGGAAGTGCCATTAAAAAATATTTTACTCAGAAATTCTGTCCAAGGCAACAACCAGTGAAACATATTCACAGGTAGTGTGTGAAATTATTAACTGAATCCAAGATGATCGAAATTGAAACGGTGCATGTTAGGTGATAATTTGAATTTAAACGTACAGATATAAACTGTGACAGAATTAGCTTGAGAGATGATGTTGATAATGTGTGTAAAGATTGATAATGTGTGTAAATCATCTCTAATTTAGATATCTTGGTAGAGCAGTGACACTGAAGAGATTATTAACCAGACAGGCTCTGTGCTGTGAGAGGGGAGGCAGCCAGGGTAACACACTGACGCAGTCTCAGACAGCCTCTCCCACATGAAGCTATGGAAACGACAAGGTGTGTGTGTTTGTGTGAGGTGTGTGCGAGGTGTTTGTGGAAGGTGTGTGTGTTTGTGCGAGGTGTGTGTGTGTGCGAGGTTTGTGTGTTGTGCTGTGTTGAGAATGAGAACTCAGGTGGAGAGCTGGAGCTCTGACAGGATGCTATAGCAAGACATGTACACACACACACAACACACAAAACCACTCTCACACACACACGCACACCTCGCAAGGTTAGGGGGTAGGCCTAGATAATACAACATACAGTTGCCCGTGGACTGCAAATGTAATCAGCCCTTTAAAAATCCATCTACGTAAGCGACTAACTGAATGCAAAAGTATGGCTGGCGATTGGGGCTGTCTTCAGATAAATGGATGGCGCGATATAGCTAGAGGATGGGAAGAAAGAAAGACTGGAAGGAAAGAACGACTGAACGAACGACATGAATCTGCAACGACCTCCATAAATCACATAATTAGAAATGTAGAAAGGTTTAAGTAGCTACATCAGTCACGTCCCCGCGTTGCTTTGTCATCTATCTGATACCTTTTCATTTCCTATTTGTCCTCCTTCCACCCGTCCCGTCCCATCCCTTACATTACCAGAAATTACTGATGTCCCCAACCGCAGCCCCATCCCTCATCCCAGACACTGACTCTGTGTTGTCGTTGTGGGGGACGCCTCAGGGAGAGATAGAGGTACTCTTTAAAAGTGAAGAGGGGACATTTTGTGTTTAAGACAGTCACAGCTTTTTTACCCATGAGATACTTCATTAACGTTACCTGGCAGTGTTCCGTTTAGCACTGAGGTAAAGCATCTAATTTGAAATGCTGTGCACGTGTGTGTCACACACCGAGACTCTTCCTTGAAGGTGTGCCGATCAGCTGACCCTTCCCAGGGTGCCGTGTGTGTGCTCTGTGTGTGTGCTCGCCGCTCGGTCCCCCAGTGCCTCAGAGGCTGTCTGGCTCCCACTATGAACCAGACAGATGGCCTGAGGCTGGGCTGGTCCTCACTGCCTGTCTCCAATTCTTATTTTAGCAGATACCTTCACACATACACACACACACACATCTCTTTGATATTAGTTCTAACTGACAGGGGACTTCTCTCTATCAGTAGTGGAGGGATTCTTTACTCACTGAGCTATTGCACCAGGGAACTGTGGTCCACAATTAGTAGATAACACACCCCAGACAAACACACACACATCCTGGGGTCCTGTGGCCCTGGCCCCTCTCTCTTAGGTCCCCCCATAGGACCGGTCCCTGGGAGCCGTGGGCGATGGCGTACTGAGCGTACTCAGATTAGAGCTGCCCCAGGGAGAAGCCTGTCTGTTTAGTGGCCCACCAGCTCCCCAGTTGCTCCCTGGCAGATACGTTTTCTAATTAACCTGCGACAGACAGTAGCCACCATGCAGCCAACGAGATGCTGGGGAGAAATAGACCCACATCCGCCTCTGTCTGTCTGTCTATTTGTCTACAGACCAACAATAGGTTCCCTCTCTCTCTCTCCCCGTCTCTCCGTCCCTCTCCCTCCACTCTGTGGACACCTCTGACCTGTCTGTCCTTCACTGCTTCTCTCTGAAGTCTCTACTACACCTATGAGTTGATTGTGTGACGTGTCTCTCTCCGTGACAGAAACTGAACTCCCCGTCGGTCCTGAAAGCCCCTAAAGAGAGGAAGCCCAGCAAGAAGGAGGGAGGAGCTCCTGGGAAGTCCTCCAACCTACCAGCTGTCCTCTACAGGTAAACTAACTAACTAACACACAAACATTAAAACAACAGGCATTACAAACTAGCAAAAAGCCCCATATGGAGTGGCTGGGCAAACAGAGAGGTGCCAGTATTCAACCCTGGGGCACTCCAACACTCTACGACCATCACTATTCCTAAGGAGTATGTATTATCATGCCTGTATTCTTAATATGTACTTTATATCTAGCTTCTCATCTGAGAACTAACTTATTTTGATGTATTTCCTGTGTGTGTGTTCCTGTTTAGCTGTGGGATCTGTAAGAAGAACCAGGACCAGCATCTCCTGCTCCTGTGTGACACCTGCAAGCTCTACTACCATCTGGGCTGTCTGGAGCCTCCGCTGACACGCATGCCCAAGAAGACCAAGAACAGCTACTGGTGAGGGAGGGGAGAGTGAGAGAGACTTGGGGAGGTAGATGGGGAAGAAAGGGAGAGGAACTGGGGGTGGTAAATGGGGAAGAAAGAGACTGAGAGCGAGAGGGTCTGAGGGAGGTAGATGGGGAAGAAAGAGAGAGTGAATGAGAGATAATAAGTGAATGGGTGCTAGAGGACTCGGTGGTACAAGAGTTACAAAAGCATAAGTTGGACCAAGTGCTGTCCATAGCACATACACATGCACAAACACACAACCCATCGCAATGACATACTGTACTGTAAATCTGCTATGACATTGTTATACCATTGTTGTATAAAAACATGTCATTTAAGCAATAAGGCATGAGAACACAGGGATTATGGTGTGATAACTCCCGATTTGGGTCTGTTCTTAGGCCCGAGGTGAAGCCAAGAGCCGAGAACAGCCCTTAGGAGGGAGTTATCACACAATAATCTCTGGGTGCAAGGACCTTATTGCTTTTATAAAACGGTGCCAACATATTTATAAAATATTAATGAAATGTTTTCATTAAAAACATTATTTAAACAAGTAAATTTGTTTTTGCATTCTGAAGTTGCTACCCAAGCGGCTGGTCGTTAGTTATTTTCTCATGTTTTGACCCAGTCATTAGTTCTAATCATTCTATTCATCCGATATTGCTGTGCTAAACAAATCATTGGCATGTAGCTAGCTAGCAGAGATTCAATGATGATGAGAGACAAGAACTTCAATATATCAAATAGGCCTACATAGGCCGCACTGCGTTGGTTAATGAATGAATGGAATTCTGAGTGTTTACGGTTTCCATGGTGAATTTTTAGTTTCCCCAACTGTTGCAAACCAAATAATAGCATGGGGAAGTAATGTGTAGATGCTTTTTTCCACAAGGGAGATTAAGTTTAGGAATTTCCTGCCTGGGCTGCGGGACAGTGGAATTATGAGATTAGCACGTCATGGTATTTTGCAAAAGTTGTTGTCCCACATATCAGGATCCAAACAACCCGTTTTATAATAACTTGTAGTAGGAGATACATTAGTGTCCACAATTTATTTATTTATATAAAGTGTGACATTTCAGCTTACTCAGTGGCAGTAGATTTATCAGATAGAGAATGCAGAGATGGTGGAAATGTTCCACTTCACATAGAGCTAGATGTCCTTATCTGGATAGATAGATAGAGGAACTCTTTTGTGTATCTGTCTCAATAGTTTATATAGTATTCCATCTCTGTCGCTTAGTGAGCTACTTCCACAGTAAGTTATCTCCATAGAGAAGCTAGTCTAACCTTTTTGACTTCTTATTCTAAGTAAAGGACGATGGGGGATTGTAGTGTGTATACACGTGTGTGTGCACATCTGAGATGTGTGTGTATTGTTTGTTTTTGTGGCACCTCAACTTGCACGTTCCTTGTGCCTGTGATTGGGAGTAATTCATTTAATCCATGAATAAGAGAGCGTGGTGGTGTTCTGCTCCGGCGGGCGGAAATTAGAAAGCATTTGGATGGATAACATTGTGTGGAGCCAAGGCCAAGTCATAGCCTACCTTATTATCAGAATCTGCACTCCAGGAATTTGACAGAGGCAGAAAGGATCCACAAGTTCACTTTATCTTAACTTATAATACTGATATTAACCTTTAAGACAAATATTAACTTAGTCTAACTTATAATACTGATAGAAACCCATGTCACAGTCTTATGCTTTGCCTGGATCAGCAGAAACACCTTTCCTCAAATCCAGTGTCGGACCTCCAGGCTCAGATTTCAGTACTATGGGAAACCAGTATTTTTCTAACAAAACATATTATTTTCATAGATTTCAACACAGACATTACAGACCAAAGCCTTAGTGTCAGTGTTTTGTTTGTTTTATCTCCAACATAATTAGCATCATCCTGTTGTTCAGACATTGATAGTAATCAGAGAGAAAGCCTTCCGAAACCTGTTTTCCATGCTTAAGATGTTCACAGATAGTAAAATCAATAACCCTGCATAGAGGAGAGAACAATTTCTGGAACCTGAAACTTTCTTTCTTTCTTTCTTTCTTTCTTTCTTTCTTTCTTCTCTCTCTCTCTCTCTCTCTCTCTCTCTCTCTCTCTCTCTACCTCCCTCCTCCTATCTGTCTCTCTCTACTTTCCTCCTCCTATCTGTCTCTCTCTACCTCCCTCCATCTCCTCAGGCAATGTTCAGAATGTGACCAGGCCAGTAGCGACGATGCCGACATCGCCATGGAGACACTGCCCGACGGCACCAAGAGGTCTCGGAGACAGATTAAAGGACCAATCAAATTCATCCCTCAGGAGATGTCCCCGGAGCCCAAGAAACGAGATGTGAGGGGCACGGTGTGTAATAACACACCGTTTTTTATTATTATTTACTGTGCCTTCAGAAAGTATTCACACCCCTTCACTTTTTACACATTTTGTTGTTACAAAGTGTGATTAAAATTGATTTAATTGTCAATTTTTGTCAACGATCTACACAAAATACTCTAATGTCAAAGTGGAAGAAAAATTCGGATTTCTTATTTTTATTAATGGAAAATAAAACACTAATATAGTTTGATTAGATAAGTATTCAACCACCTGAGTCAATACTTGTTAGAATCACCTTTGGCAGTGATTGTAGCTGTGAGTCTTTCTGGGTAAGTCTCTAAGAGCTTTGCAAACATGGATTGTAGAATATTTGCCCAATATTCTTTAAAAAATTCTTCAAGCTCTGTCAAGTTGGTTGTTGATCATTGCTAGACAGCCATTTTCAAGTCTTGCATAGATTTTCAAGCCGATTTAAGTCAAAACTGTAACTAAGCCACTCAGAAACATTCAATGTCGTCTTGGTAAGTAACTCCAATGTATATTTGGCCTTGCGTTTTAGGTTATTGTCCTGCTGAAAGGTGGATTTGTCTCCCAGTGTCTATTGGAAAGCAGACTCAACCAGGTATTCAATGTCTGCTTTTCCCCCCTTTTTTTTAACCAATATTCTTTGTGAGGCATTGTAAAACCTCCCTGGTCTTTGTCGTTGAATCTGTGCTTGAAATTCACTGCTCGACTGAAGGACCTTACAGATAAGTGGTATGTATAGGGTACGGAGATGGGGTAGTCATTAAGTAATCATGTTAAACACCGTTGTTGCACACAGTGTTACCCCATGCATTATTATGCGACTTGTTAAGCAAATTATTACTACTGAAGTTCATTATGCTTGCCATAACAAAGGGGTTGAATACTTATTTACTCAAGACATTTCAGCTTTTATTTTTTTGTTAATTTGTCAAAACAGCAACAAAAAAAAGTGTATTGTGTGTAGATTAGTGACACAAAATCAAAATGTAATCCATTTTAAATTCAGGCTATAACACTACAAAATGTGGACAAAGTCAAGGGGTGTGAATACTTTCTGAAGGCACTGTATTTATTATAAATAATGTATTTAATATGATTTATTTATTTTGTTTATTATACAAGCCCGTATAATTGCAAAAGGCATGCTAGTAGATACCCATAGACTTTCAGTCATTGTGATAACGCTAGTTAGCATTTGTTTGTGAAACTACCTTTAACTTCCTTCATACTGGACACAGAGACATAAAAAGTGTATCCACGAGTTCATCTGACTCTGGGGAAGTAGAAAAGGGCATAACTGCAAAAATCCCGAAGTATCCCTTTAAGTGGTGGTCTGTCAAAATGGGTTTTTGAAAGCCTCCCCTTTGCTAGTTTTGGGGTTGATTGGGTTGATATTTCTGGGGTAGCCTTTTTAATTTTCCTGCCATCTACTGTATAATCCAGAATGTATCTCCCAGGTTTGGAGAAACAGACAGTAATCCGTCAACCTATACCTGGGGTTAAAAGTACTCCATCAAAGGTACTGTATACCAGGCCAGATTAACAGAGCCCAACAGATATACCAGGTCAGACTAACAGAGCCCAACAGATAGCCCAAGCCAGACTAATAGAGTCCAACAGATAGCCCAGGCCAGACTAATAGAGTCCAACAGATAGCCCAGGCCAGACTAATAGAGCCCAACAGATAGCCCAGGCCAGACTAATAGAGTCCAACAGATATACCAGGTCAGACTAACAGAGCCCAACAGATAGCCCAAGCCAGACTAATAGAGTCCAACAGATAGCCCAGGCCAGACTAATAGAGTCCAACAGATAGCCCAGGCCAGACTAATAGAGCCCAACAGATAGCCCAGGCCAGACTAATAGAGTCCAACAGATAGCCCAGGCCAGACTAATAGAGCCCAACAGATAGCCCAGGCCAGACTAATAGAGCCCAACAGATAGCCCAGGCCAGACTAATAGAGTCCAACAGATAGCCCAGGCCAGACTAATAGAGTCCAACAGATAGCCCAGGCCAGACTAATAGAGTCCAACAGATAGCCCAGGCCAGACTAATAGAGTCCAACAGATAGCCCAGGCCAGACTAATAGAGTCCAACAGATAGCCCAGGCCAGACTAATAGAGTCCAACAGATAGCCCAGGCCAGAGTAGTAGAGCCCAACAGATATACCAGGCTGTCAGAGCCCAACAGATATAGGACATAACAGGCCAGACTCACGGGACTAATGGCTTGCCATTCAGCACACACAGGTCACCCTGCTGTACTAAACAGGATTGCTAGTGGACATGCCAGGAAACTAGAGGGGGTGGATCCAAACACACACTTCCTCTGGTGTTACATTTTTACATTTTACATTTTAGTCATTTAGCAGACGCTCTTATCCAGAGCGACTTACAGTTAGTGAGTGCATACATTTTCATACTGGCCCCCACTGGCCCCCCGTGGAAATTGAACCCACAACCCAGGCGTTGCAAGCGCCATGCTCTACCAACTGAGCTACATGGGGCCGTGTTCAGCCCCAAACACCCCCCGCCGGCTCGTTGGTTCAGGTCCGCCATCAGATTAAAACTGATCCAAATGGACTGAACTACTTCCAATCTACAATCATGTATGAGGAAGATGGAATATTAACAAAGGGGGGAATCAAACATATCCTTGTTGTTCTTGACACGAGCAAGTGAGTGATGGAGCCGGGTTGTATGTTTTTTTTAAAGGAGGAAGAAAAATTGACAACATATTTAAACAGATTGTGAAAACGCTTATCATTATAAATGCTAACTGCTAAACGCTAGAACCACAGTTACTTGGCTCCTTCACTTCAGCCCTCCCTCCTTCCCTAGCTCCATCCCTCCCTCTCTTCCTTCCTCGCTCCCTTCTAAGCCACTTCTCCCACCACCTCACAAAGGGCCCAGAATATGAGTTTATTTAACTGTTTGGTTTCTATAGTGGTTGACTCCATTAAGGTAATCTATGAAAGGCCAGGGAAATATCAACACATCCAATGCAGAGTTCAGTGCAATGCAGACTAAGGTTAAAAATAAATAAATAAATAAGATATAATAAGGTAAAATGTGTACACCCACACACTCTCTCAGACCCACACACACGTACACACACACAGCATACCTAATCAGGGTCTCTGCTCAGGTGAGGAAATTAAAACTGGGGGCAGTTTGTACAACTCTGAGCTAAATCAATCTTTTAATTAAGTACATCATTGCATCTTTAACAGCCATGAATCATTTCACAGCACTATGCAGGATTAGAGAAGTTAACGGAGCGGAGGACCCAGCAGTAACTAGATGTAGTAACTTAATTCTCACTAGACTAATGGCATATTGTTCCTTTATAATCATGGAGGGGTGTTGCAGCAGGGCCACGTTTAATCACCACCCCAATACACACACTGTCACACAGAAGATTCTAGAAGAAGAAGCAATGATAAACAAGCCTCCTTGAAAATGCAGGATGGTTTTGGTCTGCAATTATTCATTTTGGAGATAATAATTAGAGATATTGGCCTAATAATTAGAGATATTGTCAGTAGATTTTACTAGAAGAAGCAAAGACCAAGCTTTCTTGAAAATGAGGTACAGTTTGGGTCCGGAACTGATGGCTCTGAGATGTAATGATTCAATGAGTGTTGAAAGTATATGGCCAAATAAGTAGTGATGCGTTATGGAGTATAGCTGTCAGGCTGTGTGTAGGATGTCTAACAGATACAGTGGGGGGAAAAAAGTATTTAGTCAGCCACCAATTGTGCAAGTTCTCCCACTTAAAAAGATGAGAGAGGCCTGTAATTTTCATCATAGGTACACGTCAACTATGACAGACAAATTGAGGAAAAAAAATCCAGAAAATCACATTGTAGGATTTTTAATGAATTTATTTGCAAATTATGGTGGAAAATAAGTATTTGGTCACCTACAAACAAGCAAGATTTCTGGCTCTCAATGACCTGTAACTTCTTCTTTAAGAGGCTCCTCTGTCCTCCACTCGTTACCTGTATTAATGGCACCTGTTTGAACTTGTTATCAGTATAAAAGACACCTGTCCACAACCTCAAACAGTCACACTCCAAACTCCACTATGGCCAAGACCAAAGAGCTGTCAAAGGACACCAGAAACAAAATTGTAGACCTGCACCAGGCTAGGAAGACTGAATCTGCAATAGGTAAGCAGCTTGGTTTGAAGAAATCAACTGTGGGAGCAATTATTAGGAAATTGAAGACATACAAGACCACTGATAATCTCCCTCGATCTGGGGCTCTACGCAAGATCTCACCCCGTGGGGTCAAAATGATCACAAGAACGGTGAGCAAAAATCCCAGAACCACACGGGGGGACCTAGTGAATGACCAGCAAAGAGCTGAGACCAAAGTAACAAAGCCTACCATCAGTAACACACTACGCCGCCAGGGACTCAAATCCTGCAGTGCCAGACATGTCCCCCTGCTTAAGCCAGTACATGTCCAGGCCCGTCTGAAGTTTGCTAGAGTGCATTTGGATGATCCAGAAGAGGATTGGGAGAATGTCATATGGTCAGATGAAACCAAAATAGAACTTTTTGGTAAAAACTCAACTCGTCGTGTTTGGAGGACAAAGAATGCTGAGTTGCATCCAAAGAACACCATACCTACTGTGAAGCATGGGGGTGGAAACATCATGCTTTGGTCATGGGTGCACTTCAGCCACGCTCAAGGTCCTAAACGATATTATAACCGCGATCGATAATAGACAGTACTGTGCAGCCGTCTTCATCGACCTGGCCAAGGCTTTCGACTCTGTCAACCACCGCATTCTTATTGGCAGACTAAATAGCCTTGGTTTCTCAAATGACTGCCTCGCCTGGTTCACCAACTACTTCTCAGATAGAGTTCAATGTGTGAAATCGGAGGGCCTGTTGTCTGGACCTATGGCAGTCTCTATGGGGGTGCCACAGGGTTCAATTCTTGGGCCGACTCTTTTCTCCGTGTATATCAATGATGTGACTCTCAGATCCACCTCTACGCAGACGACACCATTTTGTATACATCTGGCCCTTCATTGGACACTGTGTTAACAAACCTCCAAACGAGCTTCAATGCCATACAACACTCCTTCAGTAGCCTCCAACTGCTCTTAAACACTAGTAAAACTAAATGCATGCTCTTCAATCGAACGCTGCTGGCACCCGCCCACCCGACTAGAATCACCACTCTCGACGGGTCTGACTAGAGTATGTGGACAACTACAAATACCTAGGTGTCTGGTTAGACTGTAAACTCTCCTTCCAGACTCACATTAAGAATCTCCAATCCAAAGTTAAATCTAGAATCGGCTTCCTATTTCGCAACAAAGCCTCCTTCACTCATGCTGCCAAACATGCCCTCGTAAAACTGACTATCCTACCGATCCTTGACTTCGGCGATGTCATTTACAAAATAGCCTCCAACATTCTACTCAGCAAATTGGATGTAGTCTATCACAGTGCCATCCGTTTTGTCTCCAAAGCCCCATACACTACCCACCACTGTGACCTGTACGCTCTTGTTGGCTGGTCCTCACTACATGTTCGTCGTCAAACCCACTGGCTCCAGGCCATCTATAAATCACTGCTAGGCAAATCCCCGCCTTATCTTAGCTCATTGGTCACCATAGCAGCACCCACCCGTAGTCTGCGCTCCAGCAGGTATATCTCACTGGTCATTCCCAAAGCCAACATCTCCTTTGGCCGCCATTCCTTCCAGTTCTCTGCTGCCAATGACTGGAACGAACTGCAAAAATCTCTGAAGCTGGAGACTCTTATCTCCCTCACTAACTTTAAGCACCAGTTGTCAGAGCACCTTACCGATCACTGCACATGTACACAGCCCATCTGAAATTAGCCCACCCAACTACCTCATCCCTATATTGTTATTTATTTTGCTCTTTTGCACCCCAGTATCTCTATTTGCACATAATCTCTTGCACATCTAGCATTCCAGTGTTAATACTAATTGTAATTATTTTGCACTATAGCCTATTTATTGCCTTACCTCCATAACTTGCTACATTTGCACACACTGTATATATCTTTTCTGTTGTATTTTATGACCTTATGTTTTCTTTACCCCATATGTAACTCTGTGTTGTTGTTTTTATCGCACTGCTTTGCTTTATCTTGGCCAGGTCGCAGTTGTAAATGAGAACTTGTTCTCAACTGGCTTACCTGGTTAAATAAAGGTGAAATAAAAATAAAATGCTTTGGGGCTGTTTTTCTGCAAAGGGACCAGGACGACTGATCCGTGTAAAGGAAAGAATGAATGGGGCCATGTATCGTGAGATTTTGAGTGAAAACCTCCTTCCATCAGCAAGGCCATTGAAAATGAAACGTGGCTGGGTCTTTCAGCATGACAATGATCCCAAACACACCGCCCGGGCAATGAAGGAGTGGCTTCGTAAGAAGCATTTCAAGGTCCTGGAGTGGCCTAGCCAGTCTCCAGATCTCAACCCCATAGAAAATCTTTGGAGGGAGTTGAAAGTCCATGTTGCCCAGCGACAGCCCCAAAACATCACTGCTCTAGAGGAGATCTGCATGGAGGAATGGGCCAAAATACCAGCAACAGTGTGTGAAAACCTTGTGAAGACCTACAGAAAACGTTTGACCTGTGTCATTGCCAAGAAAGGGTATATAACAAAGTATTGAGAAACTTTTGTTATTGACCAAATACTTATTTTCCACCATAATTTGCAAATAAATTCATTAATAATCCTACAATGTGATTTTCTGGAGAAAAAAATGCTAATTTTGTCTGTCATAGTTGACGTGTACCTATGATGAAAATTACAGGCCTCTCTCATCTTTTTAAGTGGGAGAACTTGGTGGCTGACTAAATACTTTTTTCCCCCCACTGTATACCTTTAGGGCGCATGTTGATTTAGAAGAGGGCACTGCCCTGCAGTAGGCAGTGTACTCAGTCAGCAGCCCCTGAACAAGGGCCAGAGGAGGCTAAGCTGCACCACAGAGTGGCAGTGGGCCACCTTACCCCTGTGGCCCCGCACACACACACATAAGCACCGTACACACACACACACTCCAACACTCGTCCCCATGCAGGGGCCAGCGGGAGGTTGATTAGTCAGCCCTGATCAATTGAAAAAGGGCTTTAGAGCAGTGCCAGCGCCAGGGTGCCCTGGTAAAAGCATAAATGCAAAGCAGGGCCTTTTCAGCAGCTGCCATCGCATGCCTTGCATTTGAAGATAAATGCAGCATTGAAGCTCCTCGACTGGAGCGGACGCGGCGAGAGGAAATCAGAAAAAGACGGCTTAATCCCTGAGTACTTCCAGCAGCAGGGTCCTCAGCCCAGCGTACTCTGGGCACTTTGCTTTAGATGCGCTAACAGAAAAACACATTAACCCAGACCCACCGCCACAGCACTCTACACGACCTCCTTCTCTCCATCCTCCATCCTCCACCTTCCCACTCCCCTCTATCCCTCCTCCCTCTCTCCCTCCCTCTCTGAAAGAACATACAGAAAGAGCAAACCTCCAGAAGGAGTTCTTAAAAAAAATAAGGAACAGCAGGGTGTGTTTGTGTTATCTAAGAGGCCGACAGCCAGACAGCCAGCCAACCAGACAGACAGACAGACACTGGGCTATTCTCTGGCTCTTGCTAGGCAGCCAGGCAGTGAGTGGCCTCAGAGAATGAGTGTTCCTCAGGTTCTCTCCTTCCAGGTGTGGAGGGGGTTGGTTATTGACAGTCTAAAAACAAAAGACGGGGGAAATAAAATGGAAGAGGACTGGAGTGTGTTTTTCTCCCCTCCTCTCTCTGATGACTATCTGTTGTGTTCCTTCTGGGAGCTGGGATTGGGAGGGAGGATGGATGGGGAGGCGGGGGGGAAGCGGGCTGGGGTGGAATATCGGAGGAGGATCAGGGTATGGTGGCTGTAGATAAGTGAGATCCATGAAGAGGTGTAGGGAGAAAGGCAGGGAGGGAGCAGCCATATCTCCACAGCTCTTTCTCTCCCTTCTCTTTCTCTCTCCCGCTCCCTCTATCTCTGTCGAACCCGCCCCTCTCTTTCTCTCGCTTTCTCACTCTCTCTCTCGTGCAGCTGAATAGGACCAAGTCCACAGACAGCACTGTGTGGCTCTCTTGTCTTGTATGGCCAGAGGTAAAACAAAACACCAGCCTCACTGGGCAGTAGAGGATTAAATACAGGACAAACAAATGTATTTGGAAAACAGTTTATGCTTTCTGTTGTATTGTTGCAAAAGGCAGAGACCACAGTGGGTTTTCTTTGTTTGACAATCTGATTAAACAGCTGAGGGAGCAGACAGCGTCATAAACATACTTTCACTGGCTCCAGAATCTTTTGGAGAACAGGAAAGCAATAAATAGTTAGATTTTTCTGATGCTGCCAATACCTTGTGAAGCATATCTCTAATTAAGTCAAATTATTATTTTGACAGATTCTCACAGACAAAATTCCAAGAACGAAAGATTTGCCTGACCACTCAACAACTCAAAGTAGAGATATATTATGACCTTGTTGTGACCTTGTGCCTTGCATGGCTAGCTGATAACCTTTCACAGGGCTTATGAGACTGACCAGAGCTCAGGTCAATTATCTCTCATCATTTCACACAGATCAATCAATTAGCACATGAATTACCACAGAATTCGAGCTTAGTTAAAACGGACCGCAATGAACCTAACATGGTGTTCTGTATTTCACAGAGAACCAGAGGGCAGAAGAGGAAGAGGGTGTCCATCTGTGAAGAAGAGAAGTTTGAGGTGCAGGTATGTCATTGGTCTAAATTTGTTACTAAACATTCCTAAAGCTCCTAACCTCCCTATCATACACACAACTACAGTGAGGGAAAAAAGTATTTGATCCCCTGCTGATTTTGTACGTTTGCCCACTGACAAAGACATGATCAGTCTATAATTTTAATGGTAGGTTTATTTGAACAGTGAGAGACAGAATAACAACAACAAAAATCCAGAAAAACGCATGTCAAAAATGTTATAAGTTGATTTGCATTTTAGTGAGGGAAATAAGTATTTGACCCCCTCTCAATCAGAAAGATTTCTGGCTCCCAGGTGTCTTTTATACAGGTAATGAGCTGAGATTAGGAGCACACTCTTAAAGGGAGTGCTCCTAATCTCAGTTTGTTACCTGTATAAAAGACACCTGTCCACAGAAGCAATCAATCAATCAGATTCCAAACTCTCCACCATGGCCAAGACCAAAGAGCTCTCCAAGGATGTCAGGGACAAGATTGTAGACCTACACAAGGCTGGAATGGGCTACAAGACCATCGCCAAGCAGCTTGGTGATGTCACGAGTGTCCGTGTAATGCGGTGGATTGAAGTCAGGCGCAGGACACAGAACTCAATGAAACATACTTTACTGAATAAGTAAAGAATCCAAATACAAATCACCTCCACACAGGGAGGAACAAACCCGCTCACCAACGACACACGAAACTAAAAAACAAACACGCACAAAACACATTGGGAGCCACCGGGTTAAATTGGGAAGGAGTAATCACGTAATGGGCAACAGGTGTGTAACAATCAGACAACAGATGCAACATAGAAACATAGAACATAGATCGGCAGCAGCTAGTATTCCGGTGACGACGAACGCCGAAGCCTGCCCGAGCAAGGAGGAGGGGCAGCCTCGGCAGAATCCGTGACAGGTGAGAAGGTGACAACAGTTGGTGCGATTATTCGCAAATGGAAGAAACACAAAAGAACTGTCAATCTCCCTCGGCCTGGGGCTCCATGCAAGATCTCACCTTGTGGAGTTGCAATGATCATGAGAACGGTGAGGAATCAGCCCAGAACTACACGGGAGGATCTTGTCAATGATCTCAAGGCAGCTGGAACCATAGTCACCAAGAAAACAATTGGTAACACACTACGCCATGAAGGACTGAAATCCTGCAGCGCCCGCAAGGTCCCCCTGCTCAAGAAAGCACATATACAGGCCTGTCTGAAGTTTGCCAATGAACATTTGAATGATTCAGAGGAGAATTGGGTGAAAGTGTTGTGGCCAGATGAGACCAAAATGGAGCTCTTTGGCATCAACTCAACTCGCCGTGTTTGGAGGAGGAGGAATGCTGCCTATGACCCCAAGAACACCATCCCCACCGTCAAACATGGAGGTGGAAACATTATGCTTTGGGGGTGTTTTTCTGCTAAGGGGACAGGACAACTTCACCGCATCAAAGGGACGATGGATGGGGCCATGTACCGTCAAATCTTGGGTGAGAACCTCCTTCCCTCAGCCAGGGCATTGAAAATGGGTCGTGGTTGGGTATTCCAGCATGACAATGACCCAAAACACACGGCCAAGGCAACAAAGGAGTGGCTCAGGAAGAAGCACATTAAGGTCCTGGAGTGGCCTAGCCAGTCTCCAGACCTTAATCCCATAGAAAATCTGTGGAGGGAGCTGAAGGTTCGAGTTGCCAAACGTCTGCCTCGAAACCTTAATGACTTGGAGAAGATCTGCAAAGAGGAGTGGGACAAAATTCCTCCTGAGATGTGTGCAAACCTGGTGGCCAACTACAAGAAACGTCTGACCTCTGTGATTGCCAACAAGGGTTTTGCCACCAAGTACTAAGTCATGTTTTGCAGAGGGGTCAAATACTTATTTCCCTCATTAAAATGCAAATCAATTTATAACATTTTTGACATGCGTTTTTCAGGATTTTTTTGTTATTCTGTCTCTCACTGTTCAAATAAACCTACCATTCAAATTATAGACTGATCATGTCTTTGTCAGTGGGCAAACGTACAAAATCAGCAGGGGATCAAATACTTTTTTCCCTATACTGTAATACATACACATCACATGTTACTTACTCTATTCACTCTATTAGCCTGCATATTACTCGTTCTTCTACACCATTACCACACACACACATGGCAGTGTCGGGTCTAATCAGCCTGTGTGTTTCCATAGGAACCGTCTCTACGGGAGCGGCGTCAGCGTCAGTCTGCGATGCAGAAGAAGACACCTAAAGCAGATGACACCAGGACCAACTGTACCTCCTGCAAAGGACCCGGGGACAACGAGAACCTCGTCAGGTGGGTCACAGTGTGTATGTGTGTGTATGTGAAAAGGGAGGTGGTGGGAAAATGTGGGTGTGGCCATGGAAAGGGAGGTTGGAAGGGTGCATGAATGTGTGTGTAACACACAAGCCCATGCTTGTGAATGTGTGTTCACACCTGTTTGTTTGTGTGTGTGTGTGTGTGTGAGGAGCCATATCCTCCTGATGATTAATGTTCAGTCTTCATTAGTAGGCCTTGGCTGGGTGAGGGGCGCTGGGTGAGGGGGGCTGGGTGAGGGAGGCTGGGTGAGGGGGGCTGGGTTAGGGGGGCTGGTGAGGGGGGCTGGGTGAGGGGGGCTGGTGAGGGAAGCTGAGGCTGTATTGAACAGCCACCTACTTTTACACACTTCATCAAGATGTAATGAACAGTCTGATCTGCCCTGGTCTCCCATCAGAGCTTCAGCTGTCTCACGCTGCTTAAACAGGACCGTGACTTTACTAGATCCATCGGTAGTGTGTGAATTACAGCAGTCGGCATTAACACACTGTAGACTGACTGATTTATCAAGACTGTATTTATTTATGAGGTAGACCACTGTATATTTGCTTTCTATATGGCCTACAAACTGGGACTGTCATTGGCTCATTTCAAAGCAACTGTATGCTTTTTTCACTTTATAACTTGTTATACTTGACTTAATTTATCCAGGTAACGTAGGGTTCTTTCTGTGAGCTGTATTTGGTGTTATCAGTGTATGTAAGGTTGAGCTAATAATGTGTGGTTCTGTCAGTGTTTTCTAGGTTAAGGAGGTCGGGGGCTGTGAGGTGTGCTGCCTGCCCTGACTCTTTCTATCTTTGCATTGCACAGGTTTTGAGAGCCGGGGCAGACACCTCTCCTCACCTCCCCACACCTAGACACAGCTGGACAGATGAGAGAGAGAGAGAAGCAGACCTTTGGCTTAGAGACAGAGAGGGACTTAATTACGCAGAAGAATGACAGCGGCGGTGTGGGATCAGATGGCCATCTTTAAACTTCCGACCACGGGCTTCTTCGTGACCCAAATTGGACCTCCTACTGGCCGTCCAATTAAAATTGAGGGAGAGAGGCAGAAATGGACATGAACTTTGAGGAATTCTAAAATACTTGTTGAAATTAGCAAATTAAGTTTTGGGGAGGTTCAGTATTACTGAACTAGTCATTCTTGTAAGAAAGGACATGTTGGTATTACTGGACAGGCCTTTTGTGATCATCATTGCCATCTCTAAGGGCTCATCTATAAGGACTATGGCCTATCTGGACTAAGGAGTGATTCTGAAACTCAACAATATTACTAGAAGCATCTCATTGCTTTCCTGTCTGTCTCCTCTCTATTCCTCTGCTTTCTCTCTTCCCCTTGTTCCCTTTTCTGTTTCTCTCCCCGTCTCTTCACTCTCTCCTCAGCCCCCTTCTCTCTCTCTCTCTCTCTCTCTCTCTCATCCATTCTATGATGGCACTTCACTCCTTTGACCTCCCTAAGCATCTTATTACCACATCCAATCAGTTGTATTGACTCCAGTCATTTGTGGTCCAATCACATGGTGTTTTCCTCAGTAAAGGCCTTTAATTGGAGATGCACTTGAACTTAAGCTCTCATCATCTTCTTCTAGTGTTGTGTTGTCGTCGGGTAGAACTTTCTAGAGTAGAGGAAAAGTAGTGATTTTTTGTAGAATGATTTCCCTTTCTGGTGTTTGAGAAGTAAGTAGCTGCTTAGATAGGCCCTACAGTGGCCTAAGGTTGAACATATTGATAATAGCAACATTTATAGTAATGGTTATTGTAACTTCTAATGTGAGTGTGTGTATGTGTACCGTAGGTGTTTAGGCATTCTAAAGTCTCCCTTCCTTCCTCTTGAATATTTTAAAGTCACACTTCTTTAAATGCAGCCCAGCTCTCTCTCTCTCTCTCTCTCTCTCTCTCTCTCTCTCTCTCTCTCTCTCTCTCTCTCTCTCTCTCTCTCTCTCTCTCTCTCTCTGTCTGTCTGTCTGTCTGTCTGTCTGTCTGTCTGTCTGTCTGTCTGTCTGTCTCTCTGTCTCTCTGTCTGTCTGTCTGTCTGTCTCTCTGTCTGTCTGTCTGTCTGTCTGTCTGTCTGTGTGTGCCTCCCCAGTGCCCCATAGTTAGTGCTGTCAACTGAGCAGCTGCCATGTGGTCCGTCTGTCTGTCAGGGTCCTTGACAGAAGTGTCACAGTTTGCCCTCACATGTCACTCCTCCTCTCTTCCTCCCATCTGTCTGGGGATCCTATATGCATGGCTCTGGGAGCTGCCAAACCTCACAATGTTTAGGTCCACTGGAAAATCTGCGGAGAAAATAAAGATGGTGGTTTTCCTGTGGAGATTAGAGATCCCTGTACAGGATGACCTGGTCACTCACCAAGTCATGTCACCCCCATGAGCCCTCCTCCTCATCCTCTTCTGCCTCCTCCGCCGCAACAAATTTAGAGGACTGTCCATGAGCTACAGCCTCCAGCTAACCCTACTACAGCTAACCAGCTAACCCTACTCCAGCTAACCCTACTCCAGCTAACCTTACTCCAGCTAACCCGCTAACGCTACTCCAGCTAGCCCTACTCCAGCTAACCCTACTACACCTAACCAGCTAACCCTACTACATCTAACCAGCTAACCCTACTCCAGCTCCCTACTACATCTAACCAGCTAACCCTACTCCAGCTAACCCTATTACAGCTAACCAGCTAACCCTACTCCAGCTAACCCTATTCCAGCTAACCCTATTCCAGCTAACCCTACTCCAGCTAACCCTATTCCAGCTAACCCTACTCCAGCTAACCCTACTCCAGCTAACCCTACTCCAGCTAACCCTATTCCAGCTACCCAGCTAACCCTACTCCAGCTAACCCTACTCCAGCTGACCAGCTAAGCCTACTCCAGCTAACCCTACTCCAGCTAACCCTATTCCAGCTACCCAGCTAACCCTACTCCAGCTAACCCTACTCCAGCTAACCCTATTCCAGCTACCCAGCTAACCCTACTCCAGCTAACCCTACTCCAGCTGACCAGCTAAGCCTACTCCAGCTAAGCCTACTACGACTAACCCTACTCCAGCTAACCGTGCATGGCTTTGTATGTAACCATTAGGGATAGGGCTAGGCTATGACCAACTGTGTATCTGACTGAGCAATTAGCGCTACTGTAGCCTACAGTAAATGTACTTTTAACATGAGTATATGTGGTGTGTTCCAACAGTTTAGATTGTGTGAATGAACACCTGGTAGCTGTGTTGTGTGTACAGTATTTATTGATAAGGCCAAGCTTTTTAGTGTCTTTTATTTGTGCCTTCATACTTGATTTTATATCATAATACGCCTTTTGTTATTACTGTATTGTGAAGAAATTGAGTTTAGCTGACTTTTGAGTAGGAACCTCAAAGGACTCCTTGCTAAACGTATTCATTGTTTATATACAGTGGGGAGAACAAGTATTTGATACACTGCCGATTTTGCAGGTTTTCCTACTTACAAAGCATGTAGAGGTCTGTAATATTTATCATAGGTACACTTCAACTGTGAGAGACGGAATCTAAAACAAAAATCCAGAAAATCACATTGTATGATTTTTAAGTAATTCATTTGCATTTTATTGCATGACATAAGTATTTGATCACCTACCAACCAGTAAGAATTCCAGGTCTCACAGACCTGTTAGTTTTTCTTTAAGAAGCCCTCCTGTTCTCCACTCATTACCTGTATTAACTGCACCTGTTTGAACTCGTTACCTGTATAAAAGACACCTGTCCACACACTCAATCAAACAGACTCCAACCTCTCCACAATGGCCAAGACCAGAGAGCTGTGTAAGGACATCAGGGATAAAATTGTAGACCTGCACAAGGCTGGGATGGGCTACAGGACAATAGGCAAGCAGCTTGGTGAGAAGGCAATAACTGTTGGCGCAATTATTAGAAAATGGAAGAAGTTCAAGATGACGGTCAATCACCCTCGGTCTGGGGCTCCATGCAAGATTTCACCTCGTGGGGCATCAATGATCATGAGGAAGGTGAGGAATCAGCCCAGAACTACACGGCAGGACCTGGTCAATGACCTGAAGAGAGCTGGGACCACAGTCTCAAAGAAAACCATTAGTAACACACAACGCCGTCATGGATTAAAATCCTGCAGTGCACGCAAGGTCCCCCTGCTCAAGCCAGCGCATGTCCAGGCTCGTCTGAAGTTTGCCAATGACCATCTGGATGATCCAGAGGAGGAATGGGAGAAGGTCATGTGGTCTGATGAGACAAAAATAGAGCTTTTTGGTCTAAACTCCACTCGCCGTGTTTGGAGGAAGAAGAAGGATGAGTACAACCCCAAGAACACCATCCCAACCGTGAAGCATGGAGGTGGAAACATCATTCTTTGGGGATGCTTTTCTGCAAAGGGGACAGGACGACTGCACCGTATTGAGGGGAGGATGGATGGGGCCATGTATTGCGAGATCTTGGCCATCAACCTCCTTCCCTCAGTAAGAGCATTGAAGATGGGTCGTGGCTGGGTCTTCCAGCATGACAACGACCCGAAACACACAGCCAGGGCAACTAAGGAGTGGCTCCGTAAGAAGCATCTCAAGGTCCTGGAGTGGCCTAGCCAGTCTCCAGACCTGAACCCAATAGAAAATATTTTGAGGGAGCTGAAAGTCTGTATTTCCCAGCGACAGCCCCGAAGCATGAAGGATCTGGAGAAGGTCTGTATGGAGGAGTGGGCCAAAATCCCTGCTGCAGTGTGTGCAAACCTGGTCAAGACCTACAGGGAACATATGATCTCTGTAATTGCAAACAAAGGTTTCTGTACCAAATATTAAGTTCTGCTTTTCTGATGTATCAAATACTTATGTCATGCAATAAAATGCAATTAATTACTTAAAAATCATACAATGTGATTTTCTGGATTTTTGTTTTAGATTCCGTCTCTCACAGTTGAAGTGTACCTATGATATACATTACAGACCTCTACATGCTTTGTAAGTAGGAAAACCTGCAAAATCTGCAGTGTATCAAATACTTGTTCTCCCCACTGTATTTGTTTACAATACATGCCTCTATGCTACTATTTGTTTACACACATGCCTATATGTGATTAGTATTATTTGTATACATACATTTCTATATGTGATTATTTCTAACATGTTGTGGTATTACCACGTTTGGTAGAAGTTCATACAGTACCTGTGATATATGGAGTAAGAATGTTGCTGCTTTCATGATATGTGTGTATGTGAAGTATCCCGGCCTCCCGGCCCCTATAGCTCTCAGCATTACAGCAGAGCTTTAATAAACTCTTGACTTTTTCACCTTATTGCCATAGTGATAAATGAGAGTTAGACAGCTAATTAATTGTTGTAAAGGTGTGTCGGCGGCCGTGTCGATGGCGGGCAGCGGTCCGTTTGTGTGTCTACGCCCTCTGCCATCTCTGATTTATCACGGGGGAAGTGCCCTCTCGTCTGCTGCCGGCTGCTGACCGTTAACAGGCCAGTAGAGCTGGTGAGAAGAGGAGAGTAGAGGGTGGTCTCTCTTTGCCTCTCTGTCCCTCTCTTTCCCTTTCTGTCTCTCTATTTCTCTCTTTTCTTCGCAACAAAGTTGATCTGTTTATTTCAGCTAAGCGCCGATTCTGTGGCCTCTCCTGCTCCTGCACCTATTCACCCCTCTCTCTTCTCGCTTTCTCCCTCTCAGCCAGATAGAGAGGGAGAATAAAGGCTTTCGTGGACAATCTGGTTAACAAAAGCCTCCAATGTGTCTGGCACCAGACGGATAGGCAGCAACAACAGGAAATACAGTCAGAGAGACACTCTCCATGCTGGGCCCAGACCTGGATTCAATTGAGCTGGGTTTGATTGAGCTTGCCTGGCTTAATGGACCAATAGAATA